TGAATCCTCATCCTCAACTTCCTCAATCTGCACCTTCTGACCAACAGTAGTAGCAAGGTCTGATTGTTCTTCATCCTCAAGCCTGGCAGGTATAGTACCCACATGTCCGTGCATTTTAGAGCTGAAGCTGTTCGACTGAACCCGATGATGGATAGAGGCTTCCTCAATATCCTCACCTTCGTCATCTTCTGTCGGTATCAAATCAGGCAACACCAAAGGGATCAAAGAGTTCATGGCTTTTCTCTTCTTCGCCTTAGTCTTTTTGACCTTGACCTTGGCTTCTTGACATTTAACCGGGCAACGGTCTAATGCCACCTTCCCTGCATTCCAATCGATACTGGGATTGTGGAATCATAGCCAATCTATCCCAATGATGACATCATCGGATCCTAGGTCTGTGACCAGAAAGGCTACTTCTTCCTCATGATCCCCTATGGTGAGCTTCAAGTCTGTGTAATGCGTAATTGGTCCGGCGGAATTGTCCGTTTCGTCAATGTTACGGATCGACATTGGTCGAAACAACTGCTTAATCTCAACTTGATTTTTTTCTACGAATTTTTTGCTGAGGAAAAGGTTTGTTGCTCCACAATCCACTAGAGCATTGACAGCTGCTTTCTTGTGTTTCCCTTCCAATGTAACTGGCAAGTAGAAATGGTCTCGTTTATTCCCAGAACAAACTTCTGATACTTCTGCAAACATAATTGCCAAGTCACTGAGAATGGAAAAACGATTTCTTTGATCTAAGTCCACAGTCGACTTTGATCTCCCTAAAAACCCTTTTGTTCCTCTTTCTTCACTGGGTTGTACATACTGGAGAGGCAAATCCTCTCATTAACAATGCGGTTAATATCTTCCAGGGTGAGTGCTTTCACCGCTGGAACTTCTTCCACCTTGCCGGCGTGGACAGCTGGTCCTTTGCCCTTGGTGTTGAGTGGCTTTCCTGTGCAATTACAGGCCATATGCCCTTCTTCTCCGCAGCGATAGCATTTGAATGGTTGCCCCTGCGCGCGGGGTCTGCCTCCTGCTCTGGTTGCGTCAACGTCCATGGCGTTTCCTCCCTGAGACATGGTCTTAGGTGCTCCAGCTGGTGCGGGTGGAACAGCAGGGCCTCGCCAAGGTTGTCGCTGAGAGAAGCTCATCTTCCTCTCGTCGTCAAGCTCCTCGAGGTTCTGCCCGACTAGGAGCGCCTCCCTGATCAATCCCTCCAGGGTGTCTTTTCTGTTGGGGTGGATGTTAGCCAAGTAGTTTTTGACCCGTTGGTCTAAACCATGGCAGAGTTTGCGCATTAGTTCATAGTCGGAGAATTGACAGAAGGCGAGCTTCTGACGGAAAAGGGAGATATATTCTCCGACTGTACGATTGCCTTGTCGGAGAGATTCCAACTCTCTTGCTGCCTTCTCCTCCTTGTTGACGACGCTCCACATGACCTTCATGTCCTTGACAATGCTGTTATAGGACCCGGGTTGACCGCTGAGCGCCATAGGTGTGATACTCTCTGCCCACTTGGCTGCGGCTCCTTGACAGAAGGAAATGAGACAGGTACACTTTTGCTGCTCCGTTGCTCCAGGGTACCCTGTGAAATAGATTTTGAGCTGGGTAAGGAACATGTCGACGTCAATGGAATTCTTTTCTCCCGTAAAGTCCACGGGTTTTGCCATCTTCAGATCAGAGCCTGAAGTCCCAGATGTAGCGCCTGGGATCTTTGTTGTAGGCGAGGTCTCCAAAAGCGTGACCCTGTCTTCTGCGTCCCTCAATGAGCTCTCCAGATCTCTCACCCTCGTTTTTAGGTAGTCGATCTCGTCGTCTGCATGCACCAGCCCTGCTTGTAGTTCGTCGACCTCCTTCTGTAGACGGGTTATGAACTGCCTGGTGTACTCTCTTTCTGTTACGACAATGGCGTTGATTGCGTGCGAAATGTCCTGATGGGTGATGATACTCGACCCGGGCCCAGAGATGCCGAAGGGTGCAGAAGGGCCTGTGGTTGGGGTGGTGGATGATCCTGCAGATACTACTGGGCCTAACGGGTTTCTCCATCCTTGCAGGGCTGGAGAGTGGATTACTCCCCTTGGTGGAGTTGCTACTCTTGGTACAGCTGGGGGAGCGTCTGTCACTTCCGTATCCTCGGAAACGACGATCCCAGGCTCTCCTAGATTCTCAGACATGGAAGAATCTGCAAGAGGTATCCAAACAGGAAACAGAGTGAAGGAGCACTTCTCTAGCCGCGACTAAGCGGGATCTGTATGGCGGGGCAATGATGACAGAGGTGCGAAGCGCGTATAGCGGTTCGTCAACCTAAAAAGAACTCGAGAGGAGTTCGCGGAGACGTGGTGAACTTTGGGTCTGCTTTCAGCACCCTAGGTTCCTATCATAATGTATTTTAGGGTTATGAGACCCGCGAGTGCCGTTCTGTTACGTAAAAAGCAAGTATAGTAGCGTACAGTTGGCAGGGTTTTGGGCCGAACTGCAGATGTACGGAAACAGGACCTAAGGTCACTGATCCTTATGAACTGGCGGCTCGTGTAAGACGAGGGCCTGGTCCACTTCTACTTAAAAACTAACGTAAAGAAACTGAGATACTGAAACGCGTCGGGGAAATAATGAGTTGACAAAAAACGTGATCCACGAGAATATTCTCAAGCAGAACAGCACTGCAAAGTTTGTCGAGAACGGTGACGTCCAAGACAAAGTTCGAGTTGGAGTGGTAGAGTAGACTTAACCTAATGTTATGACCGACGTCCAACAATAATGTTGAAGGTGAGTGCACAACCACTAGGACTCGGTCAGAGATGATAATGAGCAACAGGATAGATTGAGCATTTAAACGTCTAGGTCACTACAACAGTAGGAAACGAAGAGGTTAAGTCTAAGGAGCACTTATGCTAACTACCCTACTCTTATACATAACATTAAGTAGGAGTCTGAAAGAAATCAGCCAATGAGAAAAGAGTCGTACAATGCTGCGGATGACTGAGCATGACATCATGATATATAAGCAGATGAGTAAGATGGCAACTAAACAGAAACCCAAGTTCCGACCGGTTCTCCTTTGGGAAGCGAGATTGTTCTAGCCCGTGGAGTAGGTGAGCCAATTGGAGAAGCAACGGGTGACCTATGACGAGGAGTCACATGACCGGCTCGGGTACTGGAAGTAGCCGAAGGAAAACCAAGAAATGAAAAATGGTTTGTATTAGGAATTCATGACAGTTCTGCATTCCCGCACATCCTTCGGAACACACCCACACTATCCAATATTCCTGCGCATCATTGGACAACCTTTGTATGTCCTGTCCCCATCCTTCCAGGTTCATTGGTACACTGTATCTCTCTTCCCATTGCTTCTAACGTTATCCAAATCACATTAACACATGCCCTTATGGCATGGACCCCTATTGCACAGTATTGCGCCCATGTGCACTGCCTGCCTTCACTTCTGCTTCCTGAGAATTTCCTACCTGTACCTCAGTGTTCCTTGAAAATAATGTTCCCTATAAGTAGTGGTACTCAGGGCTTGGGTGTTTTTTATCAAATCTCATCTCTTACCTTCCAACTTTTCTCCAACTTTTCCTTCACCTTACTAGAGGACTGCTTTGACTTATGCTCACTGTCAATCTAACCCTGTGATATACTTCCTTTGACTTGATCCACAAGTTCTGAAAAATCTGTACATTCCGCATTTTATCCATTTGAGTTCCGCTTCATTCCACTTGTTCCGCTTGAGTTCCGCTTGTTCCGCTTGTTCTGCAAAAATGCAGATCCTCATCCTACCTGCAGTAGGGTTGATTAGGGTCATTTAGACAGAGACTAGTACTCCCCAGTAGCAATCCCCTTTAGGGTTGAACATGCTTGTTCTCAAGTGAGGCAGCAGGCAGCAAAGACCCAACTTTGTAGTAGATCAATTTCTCGCTGCTACACTTGTTGTACCCACAATGGGGCAGAGAAGGCTTGAAGTTGTATACCCACCCCTTTTGCAACATCCGGCCTACTGACATCAAGTTGACCAGGGCGCCAGGGGCATGTAGGCAGTCACACAGCCAAATGCATTGTGTGCATTTGCCAACGGTGAGATCCGCAATGCAGTCCCCGCGTACTGAGGTAGGCAGCATCCTGTGATTCACAGTTTTCACAGTGACATTCATGCCGACATTGTAGGTCAAGAAGAACTCTCTGCTTGTGATGAGGGTAGAGGTTGTACTGGAGTCCAGAATGGTAGACAGAGTTTGACTGACAATGCAGGCAATATCGTTGTTTGAAGGCACACAGCTGGGATTGAGTTCTTTGATGACAGCGCAGGACCAGTCGCAATTATGAGCGGTGGCAACAGCAGACATCTCAGGAGTGGGAAGAGCAGAGGTGGATGGGGTCAGTGTCAAAGTAGGAGGTTTGGACTCGGTTGCGGTTGCTGCCACGTCCTTCCTTTTCCCACTTCTCTGTGCGCCCCATGGGGCCTTGGTCTCCATTCCACCCCCAGGCTGCATGCAGTGTTCTTGGTCATGTGTCATGGACCAAGGCAAGCCGGTGCAAGCGGGGTTATCACAAGGCACCCCCTTGAGGTTGTGCTTGTGTATCCTCACCCCACTTGTGGGGTTGACCTTCTGTTCGAATGAGGCAGCTGAGCCTGAGATGGTGTTGGCATACTCTGAACCCAGTCAGGCGAGTTTCTGCTGCCCACATTGACGGTTGGCTTCTTCTGAGAACACCGCTGCAACTTCTTTGAATGCGACAGGAGGAGGAGCAGTTGTTGATGTTGTGGTGGAGGAAGATGGTGCAGGTGCTTTGTAAAGCCCAAGTGTGAGACTACGAAACATGACCCACTGTGGGGTCTCTGGTAGCCCATGCAAGAGCATCCAGACGGCCTCACAATCTGTAAAGGCAATTCCCATCTCAGCGAACCTGCAACAACTGTTTTTGAAGACACTGATGTATTGTGATGTGTCATTGGCATCTTTGAGTCGTTCTGAAAACAGTTGGTCACGAAGTTTGAATTGGGAAGTGATATTGAGTCAGCCAAAGCATTTAGATAGTGCATCCCACTGCTGATGAGCTGTTAGCTTTTTGCCAAGCATGTTCTGGACAATGGGGGAAAGCTGTCTGCCAATGATTGCTTTTGCTTGGGCGTCTTCTTTCACCCAATCTTTCATAGAGGTGAGTTCAGCACTCATAGGCTGTGCAGGCGTGACTGCTGTGGGCATGACACTGGTGAATTCAGTGACATCATTGGGGTCGGCACCATTGCTGCAATGGTTCCAGAGTCCTTACCCGGCTAAGGCTAATTTGACAGCCCTTCGCCAGCTGGGATAGATGTCAGTGCCGGTCAGTTCAACAATGTGATTGAATTTACCCATACCCGAGGATAAAGGAGTCAGATGATCGTCAAGGTTCATGGGGGTTCAATCCATTAGAAGAACCTGAGTAGAGCTCTGTGAGTTTGTTTGCGTTCATATGGGTCTGAGCTCATTTTAGAGCTCAGGGCTCATAACCTATACATGCTAGTAGAACTAGCAGGGAAGTACACTCAGCAAGTCACATAGAACAATACTAGATTGATAAGTACCTAGCAGGGAAGTACATCAGTATAGGTAGATACATGCAAGTGAACATACACACCTCAGCAAGTTGTGTAGAACAATACTGGGGTGTGATAATGAGATGGACAAGACTATATACCGGTGACCATGAGATTAGGTAACAATACCAGGGAAAGGATGTGTGGAGAGTGTTCATATGGTCAAGAAGCAAGAAGACGTGTGAGAAGACACAACACATGTGGTGTTGATGGTGATAATGTCAAGAAGGAAATAGATGATCTAATGGTAAATCCCAACACACCCCAGTCAAAATACACTCAGTCAAATATGATGGATTGACTTGGACTCCATGTTCAGAATTGTCTTGGTTTGACAACTGAGTATTTCCCCTGGGTCTTTTTGAGTGTGCCATGAGCAGACTTTGGATGGGTGAGTAGTGCAAGGTTATTCATTTTTTTGGGGACCAAACTCTAGATATTATTTTTGACCCCAGGGTCAGACTCAAGCTTGAAAAAGGAGTTGATTGCACTATTTTTCGAGATTTTAGGTGCTAGTTTGAGGTACCAGCCAAATTTTGGGGTCTGAGTGACCACAACATTGTGATTGGTAGCTTGAATTGCACTTTGTACATCTGTAAATAGTCTAATTATATGTAATGTGTTGTTATCCAGGTGTTTCAGAAGGCTGTGGAAAGGTTAACCATACTTGTCAATTTTGCTTGTCCCCAACTGTAGTAGTCAAAGATTAGCTCAGTGCACTTCATGACAAGCATATTCATTCAACAAGGTACAAGGTGAATGTCAGCTCCAATACAACCTGTGATAGTCATAATTCTGTCATAGTCATGGTCAGGTGGTAGTAGTGGTCCAATAAAGTCAATTGTAATACAGTTGTGACACTTATCTGGGGATGGTAGAGGGTGTAGTGGTCCAGTGTTAGATACTGTGCTTGGATGGACAAGCAGAGGGGTCAGGGCTTGGCTTCAGCTCTTGTGCTGCACCCTTAGCCAAGTATGTGCCCTGAATTTGGAGTGGAGCTGATGCTGTCCAACGATAGGACAAGGGGACTGCTTTGGTCCACTTGAGGGTCAGGGAAGTAAAGGCTACTAGTGGTGGGCCAACTGGTAAGTGGGCAGATGAGGCGGAGAAAGCAAGTTGGAAGTGGAAAGGATCAAGGGGATTGGAGGCAAGGATTATTAGACGGAGGGGACAAGAGGTAAAGACTCAGAGCATGGTGTGAGGAGTGTCCTCACTGTAGGCCTATATCCCCACTATTCCCCATACTTGTCTGACAGCTCTACTCACATTCCAAGGTCTACCAAAGTGACATGAAGCATAGTTGAGGGACAAATATATGGATGTGATCTTGGTGCTGAAGAGTGAGAATCTGTTGAGGAAGAAGATGATGAGTAATATGGAGATGGTTGTGGGCTTGGTGGGGTGCTTGGTGGTGGAGTATCTGGGGGGGGTTATGAGTGGGGAAGAGGAAGGGGAAATGTGTTCTGTTGAGCTGTTGTTATGACCAGAGTTCACCGAATGGCAAAGTCTGACAACAACCACTAGGACTCGGTCAAGGATGATGAGAACGGATAGTATTGAGCGTGAACGTCTAGGCCTACTACAACAGTAGAGAACAAAGAGGTTAAGTCTAAGGAGTACTTATGCTAACTAACCTACTAATATACATAACATTGAATAGGAGTCTGAAAGAAATCAGCCAATGAGAAAAGAGTCGTACAATACTGCGGATGACTAAGTATGACATCATGATATATAAGCAAATGAGTAAGATGGCAACTAAACAGAAACCCAAGTTCCGACCGGTTCTTCTTTGGGAAGCAAGATTGTTCTAGCCCGTGGAGTAGGGGAGCCAATCGGAGAAACCATGGGTGATATGTGAAGAGGTGAAGGTGTGACAGGGTGAGAAGTCACGTGACCGGTTCAGGTACTGGAAGTAGCCGAAGGAAAACTGAGAAATGAAAAATGGTTCGTATTAGGAATTCATGACATTACCCCCTTTCTAGGATGAGCGTCCTCGTGAATGTAAGATGGTCATATATTTTTCTGTCTCCATTCGAGGAAGTCAGGGGTCATCAGAATTGAAGCGGAGATTCGCGCCAATTTAACCGCATTTGGGTTCTCTGCATAAAAGTCGGCTACAATGAGTGGTGCATTCTTCACATCTTCCTCTGACTGCCATGTTGCTTCTTCTACTGCATATCCTTTCCATTTTACTAAATACTGCAACTTGCGTCTGTATAGGCGGCTTTGCAATATTTGCTCTGCTTCATATTCTGGGACTTGGTCAACAATCTCCGGCGGTGGACGCGTTTGCGGCGGGCAATCGACGAGTTGAGATGGTTTGATGCGGGGTGAGTAGCGATACATGGAAGACTGGGTGAATGCGATATTTAACGGGGAGTTTCAACTTGTAGTTTAACTCGCCAGTCTTCTCTTCGATTTTGAATGGTCCCAGACAGCGGTCGGACAATTTCTGGCTCGGACGACGTTGTTTGATATTTGTTGCATCTAACCATACCTTGTCGCCTGGTTTGAATTCTGGTGCGTCTTTTACTTTATGATCATAAAAGTGCTTCATTTGATCGTTTGCTATTTCTAGCATCGCCTTTGTCTCTTCTTGTGCCTCCTTCATCTCGGCTACTCTTTGATCGGCTTGGGGAATTGTGTTGGAAGAATTAGGGGAAATCGTGAACTTGGGATTATATCTGTAGACACATTTGAATGGGGAATGTCCAGTGACTGTTACGGAGTTGTTATGCGTGAATTCAGCAATTGGAAGCCAAGAAACCCAATCAGATTGATGGTAGGATGTGAAGAGTCGTAGGTACTGCTCGACTTCTTGATTAACTCGTTCTGTTTGTCTGTCAGTCTGTGGGTGATATGCTGTTGACATGGACCACTTGGTTCCTAGTCTTTTCGAGACTTCCTGCATGAACTTGGACACAAACTGTGTTCCCCTATCCGAGATCACCTTCTTCGGTGTTCCATGTAACTTCCATACGTGATTAAGAAATAAGTTCGTGATTCCCTTGGAATTAACCTCTTTGGTGGTTGGAGCAAGATGTGCTTGCTTTGTGAAACGATCAACGACTACCAAAATACTGTCTTTGCCCTGGGAGATGGGTAGATCGGTGATGAGGTCACAGCTAATGGTTTGCCATGGCCCTTCTGGAATCTCGTTTGGCTTCAAAGGTCCGTGGGGTTTCGATGGTAGCACCTGACAAAACCAGATGATATTCCACATCCATCTGACCCATCCTAAACCCATCTGCGGGTATCCGTCTCCCATCCGATGCTTGCCCATGCACGCATGGATGATCCGTCACGCACATGCGTGGTTGGATGCAAGTGCATGCACTCAGATACGTAATAAGGTGCATTGGATTGTTTCGGAATGTTTCGGGTGTACATGTAATAGTGAGTGCGTTCGATACAAGTCATGGACTCATAGGCGATATGCATGGTCGGTTAGCAAGCGGGTTTTTGCCCATATATTAGAGGTGCTTTGGTACATACTTTCCCTCAGTCGTTTCTATCGCCTCCTTTGGCAGCGGCTGAGGTATGTCTTCACTTACATTCATTTATACCACAGTGTAGCTAATCTAGAGTAGTGCAGATTCCATCCGCTTTACTTAGGTGAATACAGTCGTTTCTATCGCCTCCTTTGGCAGCGGCTGAGTGCGGATTCCATCCGCTTTACTTAGGTGTATCCACGGACCTGATCCGCATCGCTTAGGGTACTAACGGATTGCATCCGCTTCACTCAAAGTTTTGTCAGCACCTTTGTTTGCTTGCATCAATCACATCCATCTACGTAGTCATTGACCCACTTCTGCATCTGAGGCCACCAATAGTTCCGCAAGACAAGTTCAAGAATCTTGGCACGTCCCATGTGTCCTGCTGCAGGCGAGTCATGGAAGATCTCTAGCACTGAGCGACATATTTCCTTATTATTGGGCACGTAGACCAATCCTCTGAACAGAATGAGTCCATCCTCCGTGTTCCACTCTTCCAATCCTCTTCTCAACTGCACAGGAGCCTTCTTCAGGGTTTCAATAGCATTTCGGACTTCCGGATCCAAATCAGTGCAGTTTCTGATACACTTTAACAGTGAATGTTCTCCTTCTATCAGAATCTGACCTCTTTTTGCGGCTTTAATATGAAAAAACTTGGGTTTTAAAAGCACGCGATCGGAATTGTCGTTTTCTACCCCCCCTCTGTGGTCTGGCCTCCTGGACAGAGTGTCAGCAGTATCGTTAACCTTTCCTGGTTTGTGTTGCAGAGTGAAGCTGTACTCTGCAAGGAACAAGGACCACCTCGCCTGTCTACGAGTTAACTTCTGGCTTGTCATGAAGTACTCGAGATTTTTATGGTCTGTCCAGATCTCTACCGGGTGAGGTGTGCCCTGCACATAATGCCTCCACTCCTCCAATGCACGGATGATAGCTAAAAGTTCTTTGTCATGAATATCGTAATTACACTCTGCATCTTGCATTGATTTGCTAAAAAAAAGCCACTGGGTGCCATAGTCCATCTTCATCCAACTGAGAAAGTATGCCACCAGTAGCATAGTCGGATGCATCGCTCTCTATCTTCTGTTTTTTATTTGCATCTGGCATAACTAGTACTGGTGCGGAAGAGAAATTGTCTTTGAGGGTTCTGAAAGCCTTCTCCTGCTTATCTGTCCATTCCCATGGTACGTTCTTCCTGATGAGTTCATTCATGGGCCTGGCAATGTTTGAGAAACCAAGAATGAATTGACGATAAAAGTTCACAAATCCCATGAATCACTGAATGTCCTTGACACAGGTAGGAGTGGGCCATTCCTGAACTCCC